TCCTCGTCGTGCTCTTGCCCCTGCTGAAAATGTGGCCCAGGAATGGGAGTTCTGGGAAGTCGAAGAGCACGAAGTTGCCTACAGTTGGCTACGGGCATTCAAAATGTGGCCCGGGAATGGAGTTCTGGGAACTCGAAGAGCACGAAGTGGCCTACAGTTGGCTCCGGGCATTCAAAATGTGGCCCGGGAATGGAGTTCTGGGAACTCGAAGAGCACGAAGTGGCCTACAGTTGGCTCCGGGCATCCAAAATGTGGCCCGGGAATGGAATTCTGGGAACTCGAAGAGCACGAAGTGTGTGACTGTTGCATCCGGCCCTCCAGAATGTGGCCCGGGAATGGCGTTCTGGGACTCGAAGAGCACGAAGTGTGTGACTGTTGCATCCGGTTATTTAAATGTGGCCCGGGAATGGCGTTCTGGGATCTCGAAGAGCACGAAGTGTGTGACTGTTGCATCCGGGTATTCAGAATGTGGCCTGGGAATGGAGTTCTGGGAAGTCGAAGAGCACGAAGTGTGTGACTGTTGGTGAAAAACGAGCCCGGCACCCTGCCGCCCGGCAACTCCCCAACACCTGCCCGGACCCCCCTGTGGAGTGATCTGTGAGCTCTTTTGAGACCACTAGAAACCTATCAGTCTTCGCTGTTAGGTAATCAATGATTTGGCATTCTCGCCGAGCCCTCTTGGAACATCTTGGGTGCCTCTGGGGGGTCTCGTGGGGCCTCTTGGGGGTCTCTTGGGAGCCTCTTGGGGGCAGCTGGGGGCCTCTCGGGACTTCCTGGCCACCTCTTGGGGCCCTCTTGGGGCACCCTTGGGAGCCTTAGGGGGCCATTTTTGGGCCATCTTGGGTGAGATCGATCACAGGAGGGGGGTACAAATTAGCCCCCCCCCCTCTCAGAAGGCCAGCATGGGGCCCAAACTCCAGTAAAACGAATGATTTTGGCTTGCTCGCCGAGGCCGTTTTGGACGCTCCGACGACTCGCGAGACCCCTTGTCCAGGTCCCTGGGGAGGGGGTAGGGGGAGGGGTAAGACCCTCCCCGAAGGAGAAGAAGGAGGGGTGGAAGAGGAAACGCTCTAAACCACCGACGCCCAAAGGGCTGGTGGGGTTATAGTTGTAGCAGCATGATTGTTATTCGTAACCAGAACACGATTATTATTCGCAGCATTAGTGGTACTACTAGTGCTAAGGTACTAGTATCAGTATTACTAATGCTGTCAGAAATGCTAGTGCGAACGCTGACTCATAGTACTAATACCACGATCACGAATCTCATAGGGGGTGCGTGCACATTAATGACTTAGCGGATTTTGGGATGTCGGTCTCATCACCTCATCGTGTCACTCAGTAGTCGTCTGGGCTCGAGAGTTTTCGCCGCATGCAGGGTGTGGCGGGAGCGTTCCTCGCCTTCCTAACCTTCGTGGTGCGGGACCATTTCGCGCGACGGCCGCCCTGGGACGGCGGCGACGCCGACTGGTGCCGCTCGGAGGCTCTGACACCGCCTCCCGCCCCGCCTGCGCGGGACGACGCTGTCTGCCCTGTGAGCTGGGTCCACCCTGGCATCGTGGAGGAGCTCGCGCAGCAGCTCGCCGCTGATCGCTGCGTGTGCGAGGTTCAGTGCAACAGCGGGGCGAGGGACTTCGCCCTTTTCGCGGGCGGCGTGGGCTTCTTCGGCTTCGGGCAGCTCATCTACGGGGTGACCTTCTTCGGCAAGTGCTGCTGCTGTCGGCGGGATGGCGCTCGCGGTGGCGCCGCGGGCCGTGCGACTCGGGGCCACAGGCGAGCGTCTTACGGTGCGGGAGTTCTTGAATGAGCTCCTCCCTCGCCGCCGGCGGCCTCGTGGTCGTGGACGGCGACGCCGACGGCGCTGGGGCTCCCGCGGGGCCCGCTGGCGCGGTCGGCCTGGGCGCTGTGCGCGACGCTACCGAGGACCCGTTCGGTCCCCTGCGTGCGCGCGAGGAGCCCGCCGAGGGTCGTGTCTGGATTGTGTGCGAGAACTCCGACGAGCACGAGACCCTCGGGCTGGAGGTCACGTTGAGGCCTGGCGACATCGCCATCACCAGCCACGACGGATTGGTGCATCGGCACGGCGGTTTCTTGAGGATTCGCTCGGTGCCTTCCAGCGAGTGCGTCGACTTCGTTGCCCGCCTAAAGGCTCGCTACGCGTCGACTGCTGCTGAGCCGCCTGCTGGAGCCTTGGCGATCGGCGGCGCGAAGACTCCTCCCGTCGAGGTCGACGACGACGTCAGGACCTTGTGGGTCGACTACGACGAGTCTGGGAACCGTTTCAAGTCCTTCAAGAGGGCCGTGCAGGAGAGCCGCGAGGAGCCCATCACGGCCGTGGAGGTGCAGGGCCCGCCTGGCACGCTCCACCTCGCTCGGTTCATCGAGCGGTACGGCGGGGGCCCGCGGCGCTGGTGGCAGGGCTTCGCGCGGGACCACGGCATCAGCAAGACGGACAGGGTCTACCACGAGATGACGAACCTCACGGAGAGCCTGAAGTTGTTCGGCGAGTACGACCAGCTCAACTTGGGCGCCTCCGCGGGCATCGAGAAGTTGACGAGACGCATCGGCGGAGTGATCGACGCCTGCGCGACAGGCGGGGGGGTCCCGAGCTGGAAGATGGCAGGCGTCTACGAGGGCGAGGCCAACTCGATCGACGCCATCGCCCCCGCCTTGCGCAAGTGGGGCCTGGCCAAGGTGAAGGACCAGAACGAGCTGGGGCAGGCTCGTTTGCGCCATCCGCGGCCCGCGGACGGCGCCGACCCGAGCGCCGCCCCGTCGGGCGCTGCGGGCCGCGGTGACGGCGGCCGTGGCCGCGGTGCTGGGGCAGGACGGGGGGGCCGCGGCAGAGGCGATGCGGCCGCCCCTGATGGCGGGTGACCTAGACGACGGGTCGCGGATTGGCCCTCCATGCCGCGGCCCGCTGAGAGTGGGGGATTTTCGGGCGGGAGGGCGCCCCAAGCTTTTTGACCAGTTCCCGATCGCGCTGCCGCCTTTGGAGTCTGCGCCGACTTCGGGTCGGCGTCGGTCGAAGAGATACCGCAGACGTGACCACGTGCGGCAACTCGTCGAGGGCGCTTCGAATGCACTTAATTGGCTTGCTAAGACCGACGACCACCGACTTCCTGATCTCCGCGGGCGGCCTCAACATGTTTCGGAGCTCGGCCAGTGCCAGGTGACCCGCGAGCGTGACGAGGTTCTGTCCTACGTGGAGCAGTTGGCTGCGCTCCAGGTTCGCGACGGTGGCCATGAGTACTACTTGCCGCCAGAAGTGGCCCTTCGGGAGCTGCTCTGTGACAAGGCGTCTGGCTACAGGATGGACGCCTCTATGACTACGCTCGCGCCGTACCAGCGAGGTCGGGTCTCCCTGCCTGAGAAGCGAGATGCGGTGTCGTCCGTCTTCGACCTGGTGGGGGATCGTGGCCGCGCATACCTGGGGGGTGCAGGAGAGCGCATGCTCGATCCCAGTGCTAGTGACACGTTGGCTGGCGATGCTGATCGATGTTATGTTGATCCCCAGCTCGCCAGCAACCCGAAGCTCTACGCCCGCTTCGCGCGCGACCTGAAGGCCAGGAACATGCTAGTCTTCGGCAAGTGGGCGCATGAGCGCACAGGACTTTTCTTCGTTCGAAAAAAAAGAGTGGGAAGCTCCGACTTATCTTCGACGCGCGGCGGACCAATCGGTGGTTTCGACCGCCGCCGCGCGTCGACCTTTTGACGGCCGAGGGCTTAGGCCGTATAGAGGTCGAGCTTCCCGACGACCAAGACTTTTCATCTCTCTACTGTGGCGCAGCTGACGTGCAGGCCGCGTTCCACAGGATGGGCATACCAATGTGGCTGTCTCGATGGTTCGGCCTGCCCCGTGTGCGAGCTCGAGACGTGGGGCTGACTTCCTGCGAGGACGGCCCCCTCGCGCCCGACGACTGGGTCACGCCGATGCCGAGCTGCCTCCCCATGGGCTTCGCCTGGAGCCTCTTTTTCGCCCAGGACATCGACGAGGAGGCCGCCAGCCAGGTTCTTCCTCGAGCCGAGCTGCTACGCGACCGTGGCCAGCCGCTCGTGCTCTCGCTGCGGGGCGCGGGCGCCACTGCGACGCGCCACTACATCTACGTGGACAACATCGGGGTGTTCGGCGCCGACGGCCGCATCGTGGCCTCGAAGCTCGAGGGCGTGGTCTCGGCGTTCGAGTCTCGCGGGCTGGCGGTGCACGAGGTCGGCGTCTCCGACGAGGGGGTGGAGGCGCTGGGCGTTCTGCTGGACGGCCGCAGGCGGCACACCCGCCTCACCGCCAAGCGCTTCTGGAGGGTGCGAGGGGCCATCCTGGCCCTCACCAGCCGCCGGCGGGTGACGGGGCAGCAGGTGGAGGCCGTCCTCGGCCACGCCACCTTCTGCGGCCTGCTGCGGCGCGAGACGCTGTCGGTGTTCACCGCCGTCTACCCTTTCATCAGGGCTCACTACGACCAGCCCGTCGCCCTCTGGCCGTCGGCCGCGGACGAGCTGCGCACGTTCGCTGGGCTCATGGTCCTGCTCGTGTCCGACTGGGGGGCGGACTGGAACCCCATGATCGTGGCCTCGGACGCCTCCGAGTGGGGCTACGGGCTTTGCAGCCGCTGGGTTGGTGCCGACGAGGCTGCGGCAGTGGGTCGTGTTCGTGAACGCGATCGCTACCTCGACCCTGACCGCGTCGCCGCTCGGGCCGCCGCTCTTGGAGAGGACCAGTCGGCGACCTCTATACCTGCCGAGCCTGCCGACCTGTGGGACGCCTGCGGGACGAGCGGCCTGATGGCCGACCCCACCTTTGCGGAGGTGCCCTCGCCTATGCTGGAGAGCACGTCCTGGAGGGCCATCGGCGGCTGGCCGTTCTCGGGTGAGGAGGACATCTTAGTGCTGGAGGCTCGGGCGCTGCTTCGCGGGCTCGAGCGCGTGACCCGCGCACGTTTTGGCCGCGACATTCGCCAGGTTCTTTTTGCCGGCAATCTCGGCCTGGTGCTCTCAGTGGGCAGGTGGAGGTGTCGGAACTTCAAAGTTCTCGTCATCCTGAGGAGGATGGCAGCGTGGTGTCTCAGCCGCAACGTCCGTCTCTCGGTTCGGTGGGTGCCGTCCGAAAAGAATCCTGCTGATGCCCCGTCCCGTCTCTTTCAGCCCAAGTCTCATTTTGTGTCAAAGGAGGTTGATGGAAAAGACCACCCCGATCCGATAGGGCACGCCCCCCACGACGGTTTTCCGCCTGTTGCTGCGAGCCCCTCTCGGGTGGAGCCCTGTGTTGGCGACGAGCCTCAGGAGGGTTTGGAAGCGAATGGGACGTCCTCTTCCGCTGGCTCTCGCCTCGGTCCTTCTTCCGTAGCCGTTTTGGCTCAACCTGACTCGCATGATTCATCCGGAAGCGACTGCAGCCGAGCGCACCCGCACTTTGGTTTCCTCTCAGCCTCGCAGCGATGTCGCACTGGCGAATCCTGTGAGGAAGCGTCGGCTCCCGTCGACGGAGGTCGCATCCGTCTCACGGCCGCGCACTTCCCGTGTACCGTGGGCGAACGGCGAGGCGGGGGCCAGGGCGCTGAAGACGGCGGCGGGCCTTTGGGAGATCTCGGACGACGAGGTCGTGCAGCTGCTGTCGGAGCTGCGGCGCCGCCAACAGCGTGGGCTGGACGCGGAGGCTCCCTCGAGCTCGGAGAGCGAGCCCGAGGCCGAGCCAAGGCCAGGTGCGACCATTCGTACTCGTACGCCTCCGCCGCGGGCCAAGAAGGCCCTCGAGACCCTCCCGTCGGCCAGGACGCTGCCAGACTTTGCCCACCTCACGGCGGGAGAACACGCCGCCGTGAGGCCGAGGACGGAGGCCCAGTACGCCCAAGAGGTGGCTGCGTTCAGGACGTTCGCGAATGCCGAGAAGCTGACCAGCATCCCGATCACGGACCTGGACGACCTGCTGGTGAGTTACATGGACCAGCAGATCCGTCGGGGCGTCTCGGCTGCTCGCGGGATGAAGCTGATCGCTGGCGTGGTTCACGGCCAGCCGAAAGTGGGCAAGAACGGACCCCACACCTTGTCACGCAGCTGGAGGGCGCTCAAGGGCTGGCAGAACCTCTGCCCGTCCACATCTCGTTTGCCCGAGGCGTGGCCCATCTGGTGTGCCATCGTGAACGGGCTGGCGCTGCTGGGCCGCTTCGACATGGCGCTGTTCATCTGCCTGATGTGGAGCACCTACGCCAGGCCCATCCAGCTGATGGCCCTGAATCCCGAGTACCTGTACCCGCCGTCGCGGGTGTCGACCTTCTGGACGGTCCAGCTCACCCCCGAGCCCGAGGGGGTCCCGTCCAAGGCGAAGGAGTTCGACGTGACTATCGAGCTCGACCACGCCTGGTGGTCCCGCCTCGCTCCGATGCTCACGACGCTGAAGAGCTTGCCTGCGGGCCGTCGGGTGTGGTCGTTCACCTACCCGAAGCTGGCGGCGACAGTGGCGAAAGTCGCCAAGGACCTCGGCTTCGACCTGGTGGTGTACCAGGCTCGGCACAGCGGCGCCAGCGCGGACATGGCGCCCCGCAGGCGTACCCTGGCCGAGGTCAAGAAGAGGGGCGGCTGGAAAGCCGATCGGTCGGTGGTGCGGTACGAGAAGGGAGCTCGCCTGGCCAGCACTTGGGCCCGCCACCCGGCCTGGCGCCAGAGCCACGCCGAGCAGTGCGAGGAGAGATTCGTGGAGATCTTGCTGCACGGCCTCACGGTGCCCAGGCCCGCTTCCACCTCCCGTTAGGGGAGCGTCGTCTCTTCGTGCTGATGGTCGGCGACGCTTTCCTGCAGCCGCACCATGTCACGCGGCAGGGTTTCTTGACCAGGAGCCTGGCCGAGCGGGATCTGACCCTTGGTTCCTTGCTCGCGCTGCGCCGTGATTTTCAGGAGTCGCGCATTGCTGCCTTGTTTGTCTCAGTGACCGATTCGGACACGATGATGCGAGCTCGTTCGTTGATCACCCTTGCTGTGAAGTTGAGGCTCCCAGTTATGATTGTGTGCCGTGCCGATCTAATTTTAGACGTCGACCGAGCGTTTAGCGAATTAGAGGGTGCTCTCTGTCAGGTTTCGCACATGTGCAGATATGGAGGTCGTGGCAGATTCCCGATTGTCTCGTGCCTTTTCAATATACAGTCTGCCGACTGTTCTCGCCTAGGCCTCGCGTGCCCTGGCAAGCGTTCCCGTGACAGCCACCAGCCCCACCTCTTTTCGCTTCGCCCCGCCCACCAGATCCCAAAGAGGTTCCAGAGAGCCCTGGCGTTCACGCTGTTAGCTGTCCCTCGTGCTCTTTACCTATCAGTGTGAGAACAGAACCTGTTTTGGGTTTTCTGATTCGGGATGACGTGTGAAGTTTAACTGCGGAGTTCGAACTCCGCTCTGTCTTCCCATCTCGGATCCGAGTCGCTTAGACCAGCGAGTGCAGTAGAGAGAAGTAATCACCGCTAAAAAATATGCATGTAAGTCATGGGGGGTGCGTGCACATTAATGACTTAGCGGATTTTGGGATGTCGGTCTCATCACCTCATCGTGTCACTCAGTAGTCGTCTGGGCTCCCCTCCCGCCCAACCCCTTTTGGAGAGGAGCGGTACATGCCTGGGTGATGTGTGAAGTTTAACTGCGGAGTTCGAACTCTGCTCTGTCTTCCCATCTCGGATCCGAGTCGCTTAGACCAGCGAGTGCAGTAGAGAGAAGTAACCACACACTACTCGTATTATTAAGTTTAG